ATATATGTTGCAACTAATTTTAGCTTATGTTGCAACATTTTGTAAATTTGAAATCAATTGCTGTACCATCTTTACTCATAATATTCACGATAGCCTTTTACCTATTAATCAAACAACTACTAATACGCAAAATATAGGTGGATACTTCATTAATGTATTCGGCCTCATCACTTATAGCAGTAGGCATAAAGTATATAGGTTGCTTATTACTGAAGTATAGTGGTCATCCACTCATTACATGATAGGATGCCAGCTACAGATTCAGCGCCATCGTAGTGGGCGAGCGTTGGGCCAGATCCAGTGTGATCAGTTTGATCAAAAATAGTTGATATTTCCGAAATGTTTAATTAATTTTTTTTGAAGAATACAAAAAGAAACGATAATAATCTTAGTTAACAAATTGTAAAAGAAGGTGATCTATTATATAACTGAAAAGTGTAGTCTTCTGCATAATCTATTATAAAAAAAATTAGCAGAAGTCAATACTAGTATGTATTCAGATGTGACATAAAGGCTATATCTCGATGGTATGAACCTGAGTCAGCGAAATTATAGGATCAAAAAGAAAGGCATTCAGTTGTATCTGAAAAGTGTAACCTTCTACAGAATTATATTATATAAAATGGCAGAAGGTTACACTTTTCTAGATATATTCAGGTATAGTATAGCCTTTACGTAATATAGAGATATACCAAAAAGGGATGCAAAAAAGATGTATAGTGATTTTAGTTAATAAATTGTAAAAGAAGACCATCTATTATATAACTAAAATATAAAGTCTTCTGCAGAATTATATTATATAAAAATGGTAGAAGCCTTTATCTGAACTTAGTGAGTAAATCTTAGAAGAAAGGCATCCAGTTGTATCTAAAAAATGAAGTATTCTCCATAATTATATTATATAAAATGGAAGAAGACCTCACTTTTCTAGATATATATTCAGGTATGGTATTAGTTTTCGTGAAATATAGAGGTATACTAAAAAGAAATACGAAGTTGACACCTCTAATTCTCTAACTAACTGATCCACTAACTCAAATCCAAATATCACTCAAATATTTCTAAATATATCAGTGAATGTAAAAAGAAATGATAGCGAACTTAGTCAGCAAATTGTAAAAGGAAAACAAGCAGATATGTATTCAGAAGATAAGTCTTCTGCAGAATTATATTATATAAAAATGGCAGAAGACTTATATTACATATTATATGTATTCATAAAATAAAGATTTCTGCAAAATTATATTATATAAAATGACAAAAGCCTTCATCTGAACTTAATGAGCAAATCGTAAAGAAAAGACAAGTGTAGCCTTCTTCATAATCTATATATAAAAAATTAGAAGAAGGCTCCATCTTTCTAGATATGTATTTGACTACAGTATAGTTTTCACGTAAGACTTATTCACTTAATGTCGGCCAACACTATTCCATAATTTCAGCTAAAACTTTGGGCATAATAACTTAGTATCCAAGCTAGCATATAAGTGGACTGAAACTGTCAAATAAATGGAACCTCTCAGGCACCCTGCCAGTTTCCTACCAGTTCTTCAACAGTTTCATAACAATTCTATGATCCTATCATAACGCTACCATGTTATCAAGCTGGGATCTAAAATTACATGCCCAAAAGATCAGCCAGAGTTATACCATAGAGCCAGGTAAAATTAATCGCAAATTTACCGTGCCACCTGTTACCTCTTTTTTTACACTATTTCAGTATTATAAAAGGTAACCAAATAGGCGTGAATTCTCAACATAGAACTGGTAACCAAACTGACACAAAGAGTCAGCATCTTCACTAGAGAATCAGACATTCAAACAAGAATGGAAAGCCAGTATTAGCAATATAGAATTTAACATGTATATGAACTAGAAATAAGAAGAAAATAATGATACTTAGATTTTATGGTGGCAGTTAGATTAAATGGTGGGTGGTAGTTAGATTATATGATGGTAAATGATATGAATATCAGGAAGGGTTAAAAGGAATAACTAGAATATAAAATAGATATCTGACACAAGAAAACAAATAGATTATATAGTGATAATTAGATTATATTATTCAGATTATATGGTGGTAATTAGATTATATCTTTTAGATTATATGATGATATTCAGATTATATAGTGATATTCAGATATATAGTGATATTCAGATTTTATGGTAATATTTAGATTATATAGTGATATTCAGATTATATGGTGGTACTATAATCTAAAGCAAGTGGAATATCACCATGTGATATAATTATATCACATGGTGGTATTCCACTAAACTAGAGGGTTTTTTACTTGTTAAATACTAAAATACCAAAACTTTGATAAAACTATATTAAAATTTTATAATTACTTATGATAAAATTATGATGAAATGTTAAAATAATTAAATTATTATAATAAATATTAAAAATAGAAAAACTACAATAAAACTATATTAAACTCTTATTAAAATTTTGCTAAAATTAATCATAAGATTTTAAAGAGATTTAAGCAAACATCTTTAAAGGTAAGTAAATTAAACTATAGATTTTTTATTTTTATTTTTTATTTTTTCTTTATTTCTTTAAAAATATACTATGATAAATTAATCAAAGCTAATTTTAGATAGAATTTTTAATTTATTCCTTTATTTTACTTTTTTTTTTGAATATATCTTATATAAGTCAATTAGAAGTGACTTTTAAAATACTTTTTTAATTATTTATTTTGATTTTCTTATTTTTTTAAAAAAAGTTAAATTTATTTTTCTTTATTTTTTTTTAAGAAATTTGAATTGTAATAATTATATAAAATAATAAAATTATAAAAACTAATAAATATAAATTTATTATTATTAGTTTTAATTTGTTTAAGCTAATTTTAAACTGAATTTAAGTAATTTTAGGTTATTTTGAGCTGATTTTAGATGATTGATTGATAGATGATTAATGACCAACTGACTATTTCTAATTAACTCTACTTTGGTTAATTAGAATTAAAATAATCAATCATAAATTAGCTATTAATCAGCTATTCATTTATTTAGCTGATTTAAATACATTTCAACTAATATGAATATTCTTTTTAATTAAAGCAATTTATCAAAATCACATATTAATAATATTGATTATTGGAATAAGAACTAAGAATTAAAACAAAATCTTCTGCCTAACTTTTTATTAATATCTATAAAAATTAATTAAATATTATCTCAAAAATATTTAAATCACTTTTTTTAAATTTTTAACTCTTTTATTTTTCTATATATTATTCCATTTTAAATATAATTCTGTTAACTTGTTATTCAAATTTTTTATTATATTCTATCAATTACATAATATAATTCTCATCATAATTTAATACACAAGTATTATAATTATATAATCTATTATAAAAAATCTTAAGACTATAATATTGTAAAATAATTATATGTTTCATATCTATTTTTCAAATAACATATTAATGCTTTAATAAAGAACATGTAAATTTTAATTTATATGCATTTGTTTTAATACAGTTGCATAATAAACATTAAAGTTTCTAAATAAATAAAATTAAATAGTTCAAGTTCAAATCATTTGTATATTTTGTGAAACACAGAAATCTAGCATGATCGACAAAATTCGAATTTCTTATAAAAAGACTAAAATCACTTCACCAAATATAACCAAGTAAATATTTTGATGATACTACTATTATACAATGGTGAGAATGATAGTTTCGCCAGATTGGTCTATAAGAAAAAAAAATTAATTGAAGCTAACTTTTTTTTTTTTCCGGTAGGTGCAAGTACTTTTAATGGACTCGTTTTGCCATATCAAGCTTAAAACATTTGATCCAACATTAAAACTAATTAAATGAAAAACTTTATATACAAAATAACGAAATAAAAATGACATTGTAATTGTTAAAAAGTATTTGAATTTGCTCATTCGAATCACACATTTTCAAATACTAAAAAAATTATCGTAAATTAAGGTTTCCCCCAAAAAAATGAAATGGCGCTATAATCGTAGGTAAAGTAGATGCTTTCGTTATAACAAAAAAATAATAATTGATTCTATTTTTTTTTTTTAAACAGCTAAATTTAATAATTAAAATTCACCAGTAAAATCATATTCTATTTTGTAATCTTTCAATATACCTTCAGCCTTATACCTTTCAATAACTTGATTATGATTTTTTGTTATTTCAATACAACTATCAACTTCATCATAACAATCACATATATATAACGAAAAGGTTCTTTTCATTTTCTTTCTTTTTTCAAAAAACTTTTTTAATCCTTTAGGGGTAAAAGTCCATTTTCCTGCTATTCGTAATTTGGAAAATTTTTCATGACATAAATTTCCCAACATTTCAAATAAAAGGTCACCGTCGAGTGGATGATCAAGGCTACTAATAGTTAAACCTTCCAAATTTTCACATGAACTTAATATAAAATCGATATCACTAAAATTATTTTCAAAACACCAAGTGGTAAGATATTTTAATTTGGGAGCATATTGAGCTACGACTCTATTAAACGTTCCTATTGGTTTTGGGTCTGGTTTTGACCAACCATGTAATGCAATACTTTCAAGATTATTTCTCGTCCTTCTTATTAATCTTCCCAACATAATTAAAGGTGCAAGTATTCCTCCCATTTTTAATATTTTAAGGTTCGGGAATGCCGTGAATTCTAAACATTCCAAAATTTCTTCATTCAAATTACGATTAAAATGATTAAAATCCAATTTTAATACTTGTAAATTAACAATTTCTGCTATAGTAGATGATGGAATGCATATTAAATCCCCTCCGAATGTTAGATTCGTTAAGGTATTAGAACATGTTGCTAAGGCGGAAGCTATATTTACATATGGTGGCTTATCTTCCAATGATTCAGTATAACGTATTTGAGATTGACATTCGAAATTTTTTAACCTTTTTTGAACCTCAATTAAAGTTGCTAAACCATCATTATCAAAGGGATAATATCCAATAAATAATGATTCAATATTCCTACAAATTTGTGCCATACGATAAAATATTGATGGAGGAATTTCCGTGTTACATCGTAATTCACACAAATGCGATAAACTTGTTTCGGCTCCTGCAAAGTATGGCAATGGTAAATCGGGTATATTTCGATCAGAAATATCAAGGAAATCAATTGTTGAACATCGAGTTAAAAACATTCGAAACATTTCTTGTTTGATAAGATGTTTGCCATATAAATTTCTCGAATTGCCTAATTGACGATCCCCAATTGCCACTTCAACAATGTAACATATATCATTATAATATAACCGACGACAAAATGCCGCATATTCAAATAATGGTGGTTGTGCGGTTGGAGGTGGAATTATGATTCCGTTGTCAGCTAAGAGTTTTTTCGAATCTTCAGGAAGGCATGACAATATTGTGGTGAAAAGAATTTGCGTTGATTTATCATTGAAATGAGAATTCGATAACCAATTTCTCGTATTCCTCCAAAGGATCGGAACTGTTGTTTCGCACCAAAGTCGGTTTATGAGTAGAAAGGAATGTAAAGACTTTGTGTCATCATGTAAAAATTCGAATATCTCGCGTAGGCAATCTGCTGGTAGTCTTGATCCCATGTCTATTAACAAAACTTTTCTTGAAAAAATTTTATAATATAAAATATCTTGTAATAAATTCAAAAAATTTTTTTTTAAAAAAAAAAGAGAAATTTTTAAAATATATATTTTGTTAGTTTACAGTAGTATCACAAATACTTAAATATTCTAAAGTTGGACAATAATCAAAAAAACTGACTATATTGCAGTTTACGTCGCAATATTGAATATACAATTATACAAATACCAACCAGTAACAAAATTCAAATACAATTTAAAAAAAAAAAATTTGAAAAAAAAAAATTGTTTTATTTTATTTTATTAATTATATTTTTAAAGCTGTTACAAAATTCAAATTTTTTTTTTTCATGAAAAAAAAAATTCTTTATTGCGGTGGTTAGTTTTACATATTATTAATATTAAAAGTAACTCACCCAAATAGAAATTATTAATGATCTTTTGATTGTAATCTTTCTATGCTTTAGGGAAGAATCAAAGATCAAAAATCAAAAATCTTGGAAAAGAAATGAATATAAAATTTTTTAAAGCGAAGTTATAAAAAAAAAAAAACTCGCTTAGAATAAGAAAACAACGGAATATTTTATATTAAAAAACATGAATATAAATAATCTTTCTAGCCTTTTTTAGCAATAATAAGCCACGAAAGATGCATTAAACGAAAAAGATTCTTGCACTTACAAGTACAAACAAAAAGGTAAAAGATAAAGATGGATGATGAAAAAATCAAAAAATTGAAAATTTATGCAAGGTTTATGTGATACATAGAATTAAAATTTGAGTGGATGGGTATTTATTATAATTTACATGTGATTTTTCATACATGTTCGAGATCATCATCTATATATAAGCCTGTCAAAATACCCCCAAAAAAACGAATTGAGTAGCATTCACTTTCAGTTTGTAAAGGTTGTCAAGAATATCAAGACCATATTTTGTTAAGTAAAACAAGTATATTTTCCTAAATGATTAATTCATTCGAAGGTCACTACAAGTCACGTCGAGCTATCAACCTTGGGGGGAGAAGACAACAAGAAGATAGAGAAGCACTCGTGAAAAAAACTCACGATCAACGTAGAGCTAGAGAGAAAGAGCGACTGAAACAAAAGTCAGCAATCAAAATTCAGGTATTTAGAATATAATGTTCATATGGTTCCAAATTGAACATACAGGGACTTTGATTAACATTAATATTTGGTCGTTTAGGCTTTTTATCGCGGAAGAACTTCTGCTGGAAAATTTCGTGATAATGAACGCATATCTTGGGATCAGCAAATCAAATTCATGATAAATAATGTATATTCTGAGCGCGATTTGGCTCTGAATTTGGTTAATATCGTGCGCAATTTTCTCTTTTTCTACCGTTCGCATTATGATGCTCAAAGAAAATTGTATTTAAATCAAATATTGCGGAAACAAACACAAGGTGCATCGATATTTCATAATGAGAATTTTTTTTTCAATTAAAGCATTGGTTAATTTTATTTTATCTCAATAGGTTTAGAAGCAATGTTCTTTCCATTATACTACGATGATTTACGAGATTTGTGGACTTACCAATTAAAAAGGACTTTAATTATATTTCTCAAAGATATTGGAATTAATATTATGTAATAATTTGTTTAGAGCAGGATAATAATGGTTCTTTTGCTTGTGATCTATATTGAAATTCTTTATTATTTAGGCAACAAAATCAAAGTATTTATAATTTGGAAACGTTGCTTCTATCCATGGATATCTCAAAGTATCAAAAAATTCAGAATATTAATAGAGAGTTTGTATAAATTCTATTGTTCTATGTTTCTGTTAATTTAAATAATTTTTAAACATTTTATTAAACCAATTATATCTGATCTGCAGAAAAATTTATCAAGGAATTTTAGAATACTTTGTAAGGAATGGCTTATACATAGAATTGAGAAATTGTTTGATTCACATGGTAATTCATTATAGCTTATATAATTTTAAGTGCATATATGTTATACTTATCATTATTATTATTACTATTATTACTATATAATTATGATTTTGATTTTTGATTAGCAAATAGAAGATAAAGATAATCCTGTAATACTACCTTTAATTGAACTTGTTTTGCACCCTTTACAAATTTCATCTTCTGAACACGAAATCTTTGATTCATTTCTACATAATTTTATCAATCATATTTTTACAATTCCACTAATACCGAATCGGATCAATATTGAAACCTTAAAAATATTTTCTTCTCGGTTACCATTGAATGATATTATTTTGAAATTGTCAACTATGGTTGGAGCTGCGGAGGATATAGAACAAGGATGTGTACTGTTTGGAAATTTGTTAGCATTTGCACATCAAAAGGTTTCAAAAATGAAGATTAATGTGATGGTATGCTAGTTGCAATATATATATATATATTTTTACCCTATATTTGATAACTTATTATCCCATTTAATAACTTCAACAGTTGGCTTATATGAAAACAATTCAAAACCTAGCATTACGAATTCCAACTAATCTATTAATTGACAAATCTGAAAATTCTGATGGTATTTGAAGAATGATTATATTCATTAATAGTAAATTACAAGATTTTTAATAAATCTTATTTTCAGATTCAATTATTCGTGAGGACGATGATGATGACGATGGAGATGTTGCAATGTCCAATAGTCCGGAATTAGATACACTGCCTAAAATTGATCCACGAATTTTGAAATGGATTTCTCGCTTGTTTGATAAGGAACATTTGGCTTCATTTTTTGCACTTGTAGATTCTTCGGCTATTGTGGGAGTTTCAAATTTTTTTATAACCTTAATGATTCGATGGCCGTCCAAGAAAGTTGTCTTATTAAACAACATGATTTATGGAAAACGTCCCGTAGTTAGTTTGCTATGGGGTACATTTGAAAATTCAGAATTGGCTCAATTATTATCAAATAACAAATCAAACTATAACGCTATGACCGGTATTTTTCAATAAAATTAATTTTTTTTATTTTAAAATGAAAAAAAAGATTTATAATCCGTATTATATATTCAGATTCCACTTTTTCTGAACAATGGGGTTTATTTGCCTTACTTTGTGAGGTATATAGTAGAGTTTTGTTTACTATGGGTGATGATGAATTTTTTGATGAGCGTAAAAATCCGTTAAGAATATCAGAAATCATCAAGATGTCTACTTGTATGAAGGTATTAATGAGCATAAAAAATTTTATTGAAGAAATTATATTATTTATACACTTCCATTAACTTAAAATATATTTTTTAATTATCATTAGCATGTGGGATTTTTGTTATATTGGAACAGGAATAATAGTACTCCATTAAAAATGGATGTCAAAATTGATAATAGCTGCATTGATTTATATTATCTAAGAGATATTGTTACTAAATTATTGCGGCAGATTCATGCGAGAGAGTAAGTAAATTTTTTTTATTTAAAAAAAAATGACTTTTTTTTCTAAATAATAATTTTTTTTTTAGTTCTCGCCGCCAATTCACCCCATCAAATCATTGGTTAATGACTTCAGAGATTGACATGAATATTTTTGTGAAAATTGTAGTTCTAGATGAACAAGATATTGAATATGATAGTGATGATAATGCTTGTGAATTAGATAAAATGCAGATAGCGAATATTAGCCCAAGACTTGGAATCTTGTATAATATTCCTTTTGTAATACCATTTGAGGAAAGGGTTAAAATCTTTAGAGAATTTGTTCAGAATGATCGTGAGCGGTAATAATATTTTTTTTTTAAATTTTTAAATTTTATATTTACCTAATTAAAATATTTTTTTGTTAACATTTTTAGGAATATTAATCGTGCTGATTTATTTATGCAGCCACGTGCACGTGTTTCAATTAGACGAACTTCTGTGTTTGAAGACGGTTTCAGTAACCTTAATGCATTAGGTTCTGAACTGAAAAACCCGATTGCTATTCAATTCATTGATGAATTTGGAATGCAAGAAGCTGGTATTGATGGTGGTGGCTTATTTAAGGAATTTCTGACTTCGTAAGTGGTATTTTTAAATTTTAATGTAAGCTTTATTAATATTCTCTCATAATAATTATATATTTATTTCTTGATATTTCATAGATTGACACGTATTGCGTTTGATACAAATTACGGGTTATTCCTTAGTACTAATGAACAACTTTTATACCCTAATCCATATGCATATGCCAGTCAAGGTATTAATAAATTTCTATAATTGTCAAATTATTAATGTCCTGTGATTATTCATGATTTTTTATTTATCTAAATTTTTTTCTTAGAACAGCTTAGCTACTATGGGTTTATAGGTCGTATATTAGGAAAAGCTCTATATGAAGGAATTTTGGTTGATGCAGCATTTGCCGGCTTCTTTTTAAATAAATGGCTAGGAAGAACATCATATTGTATGTAATTTTCAATTGATGTATTGACAAATGTAACTTTTATTTACTTGCATGCTGTAAATTTTGTAGTGGATGATTTGCCCTCTCTTGATCCAGAATTGTATCAGGGCCTTATATATTTAAAAAATTATAAAGGCGATGTTGAATCGGATTTATCACTTAATTTCACTGTTGTAAATAATGGTATGTATTCTCAAAATTATAAATTTTGGCCACCGATATCAAAATTTATTTTATTTCAATTCTTTTTTAAATAGAGCTTGGAGTATCTCGAACTATTGAACTTATTCCAGGAGGAAGTGATATACCAGTCACTAATGAAAACCGTATTAGTTATATACATAGGGTGGCAGACTATAGATTAAATAAACAAATAGAGCTTCAATGCGGAGCATTCTTTGGGGGATTATTAGATTTGATTAATCAAAAATGGTTAATGATGTTTAATCAGGTAATTTTAATGTAATGATATCTAAAAACCTTATATAAGATTGGATTTCTAATTTTTTTTTTTATGCTCTTGAAATAGGAAGAACTTCAAATACTTGTTGGAGGAGCATATATTCCGATAAATATTGAAGATTTAAAACAAAATACAGAGTATTCTGATTACAAAGAAGATGATCCTGTCATTATTAATTTCTGGAAAGTTGTAACTGAATTTCCCGAAGAACAAAAACAAAAATTAATAAAATTTGTTACTTCGTGTTCTCGACCTCCTTTACTTGGGTTTAATGAACTTCACCCTAAGTTCAGTATACGAAAAGCTGGATCTGGAACTCGATTACCTTCTTCCAGTACTTGCGTTAATTTATTAAAGCTACCAGCTTATTCTGATGAAAATACTTTAAGAGAGTATGTAATGAATGTTTTTAAAGCATTTCTTCTTTTTCTTCTTTGTATCAAGTTTTAATATATTTATATATATTATTAGGAAATTGTCATATGCCATAAATGCTGATGTTGGTTTTGATCTATCTTGAAAGGTTTTGTATAAAAGATATGGATTAAAATTTTTTTAATCTTACAATATGAATACTTTTATTATAACAATAAATTAAATTAATTATAAAAATTTGATAGCATTACAAATCAAATCTTTATAAATAGTTAATATTAAAAAAAAAATTCTTTTAATTTTTGATAATTATAAATTAGTATATTAAGATTAGAGATATATAATCAAAAAAATTCATTATTATAGATATCTTTTCATATCTTATAAAATAAAATGGTTTAAGGCAAAATAATTTATTTCTAAAAAGGAAATTTAGCTAATTCAAATTTGTATAAAAGGTATTATCAATTTTTAACTTTTTAATAAGCAGTTTTTTTTAATTCAATATTTGAATTCTTTGATATATAATTTAATTTAATATTTAAATTTTTTGATATATGGAAACATTTTCAGTAAAATCAAGTTTTGAGACATAGTAAATCATATGATCTGTAACGTGATTTTACTGGAAACGCTTCCATATAATTATATTTGAATATCTTTTATATTGAATTGTTACTTAATACCTATTTTAAAAAAAAAATTATATAATTGTAATTAGCATTTATAAAATTCTTTATTTTAAATATACCTTTATATTATAGTAAATCTCTTCATATAAAATGAATTAATAATCTGTTTTTTATTATTAAAAAAAAATTCTTGCATAAGTTTAATAATTTTTTAAAAAGAATCTTAATATTTTTACTATTAATAAATCTAGTTATATAGAAAAAATTTTAGTATAATATTTAATTATGTTAATTTAAATATTTAAATCTAACCTTAAAGAATAAATTAATATTTGCAAAAAAAAAAATTTATTGTAACCTTTTTAAAAAAAAAATTTACTTTAAAAACTAAAACTTTAAATCTAATATATTTAAAAAAACTTTATTTTATCTATATTAATTTAAAAATAAATAATTTATTTAAAGTAAATATATATAATAAATATTAATTATTATAAATTTAGATATATTATTATATAATATATATTATAATGATATTGTTCAAAACCTATTTTAATATGTAGCTTAAAAATTTTGAAATCTTTAAAATAATTTGTTTATAAATCTAAAATGTGATTAAACTTAATTAAGTTTAAAAAAACCTTTTAGAAGTTTAGGTAAAAATATTTATTATAAACAAATAGTTTAATCTCAAATATCTCAAAATTTAAATTTTCTAAAAATAATTTAGAGAAATATATTTAGTATATTATAAAATAAGTTTATTAGTTTAATATATTAATTATTAAAGTTATCAAATATATAGTTAATATTCTTTTATTAATAATTATTTATTTTGAATATAATATATAAAAAGATATAATATAATATTTATATTAATTACCAATATAATAAATTATAAATTATTATAATAAATTATCTATATATTCATTTTTTATAAAATTACTTATCTTTTATAAGCATATTTTTGTTATTATACTAAGATTATTAACAAATTTATTAAAAACTCCTCTTTTATAATAATATTATATATATATATAAAACTAAAATTTATATATTTCAGATATTTAAAATAGTCAAATTAGTTAAAATTATTTTTAGTTTAATAATGTGATACTGTGTAATTTATTTGATTTTTATGAGAAATAAATGCTATAAAAATTAATTTAAAGATACTAACTACTTATTATAACTATTTTTAAAGTTTATTTAAATCAACTATTTATTATTATCCTTTTTACCAAAACCACTTTATGTAAGAAAATTTCAACTAATGATATATATTTTCTAACAAAGTAATTATGAAACTGACAAAAGAATTTATAAAAAAAGTAACTTAAAAATGACTTAATTTAAATTTCTAATTAAGATGTTCTTAATTTCAGATTATAGTGAGTATTTAATACAGTCAAACCTTGATATAGCGAACTCTTGATATAGCGAATTTTTAAATCAAATATATTAAAATTATCTTACTATAATAAACTAGCCAATTAAATTCTTTAAAAAATTCGTTATAAGCTTATAACGAAGTTGATATCCAGATCCTAATATTCATTATATCAAGAGTTCACTGTATATGTGTTCTTAATTACTAAAATTTAAAATAGAAGCTCTTCAGACCTAAATTTTTATGCTAAAATGTCTGACAATTTAAATTACAACTGACTTCTACTGAATAAGATTCAATTTATACAATTATTAAAATTCAGAAAATATTGTATAAAATTCTATAGTTTTTAATATCAAAAATATATTAAAAGATAATTAATTAGCAATCAAAAAAAAAATATATTGTTATTTAAAAAAGAAAAGAAATATTATCATATAAAATTTGTATATCTAAAGTATATTACTATATAATTCTGAAAATAAGCACCCAAAAATAAATATAGTATTATCACATTTATATATATTTTAATATAAGCAACAAAATACCATTATATAATATAATTATATTATATAGTGATATCCTATTTACCTTAGATTATAGTATCACTATTAGGGTTTCTCAAAATCAAATTGAATCAAATATTTAAGCAATTTGAATTTAATTTGATTTTTTCAAATCGAATCGAATCGAATTGAACTTAATTATTTGATCAAATCAATTTGAATCAATTTAAATTTGATCGAATCAAATCAAATTAAATCAAATATTTGTCAAATCAAATCAAATCAAATCAAATATTTGATTGAATTAAATTGAATCGAATTGAATATAAATATTTTTAATTTTTACAATGATATATTAAAATAAAGTTATTCTAAAGTTTAATTAAGAAAATTATTAGTAATTGCACTAAAAAATTTCAAAGATAGCTTTTACAAAGTAAGTTTAGTAAAAGGTTAATTTTACTATTAAACTTAGTAAAATAATTCTGCAGTTTCAGTTTTACTAAGAAAACTTAGTAATAACCACTATTGTGGTTTTAGTTTACTAAGAAAACTTATTAATAATTGGCATCATAGCTTCAGTTTACTAAGAAAACTTTAGTAATAACTATCATTGCAGCTTCAGTTTTACTAAGAAAACTTATTATTAATCACCATCGCATCTTCAGTTTTACTAAGAAAACTTAGTAATAAACACTATATTGACTTCAGTTTTACTAAGAAAATTAAGTAATAACTGCTATCGCAGTTTCGGTTTTACTAAGAAAACTTAATAATAACCGCTAAGTAGGGCAAAATTGGGGGTCCTAGGGTCAAAATCGAATAGATACTCAGAAAGCATTCAATCAACGGTCAGAAATCCTTCTAGCTATATGAATCATAATATAGAATTCAAGTCTAAAATTTAAAACAGCGCCCAAATTTCAATATCAATTCTTCTTTACTATAAAATTTAAGCTTCGTAACCTAAAATCAAACAAACTGGATATAACATTTCTAGCGCGAATTTAAACCCACCAAAGATATCAAAAAAATATACCATTCTATTTGCCTTTGAGACAAAGCGAGACTGGCAAGAACCAAAGGTTCGAAGTCAAGCTCGTGAAGTCTCTGCAAACCTTCTATGCATACTAATTTTAAGATATCCTAGAATTAATTCAAAAAAAGGATTCATAGCCATCTAGCAAAGTGTAAAAAATTTCACCTAAGCTCGTCTTAGGTATAAATTTTTTATATGACTACAAGAAAGTTAAAAAGTTATAGAACGAATTCTAGCATACCAATATTTTTTGATATACAGGAAACCATTCTTGAACCATGAAAACGTTAATTAATTAGGGTCAAAAAAATTTCACTTTAACACAATCAAATCTGAAACCTTTTTGATTCACATCCTGGATAATATAAGTTTTTCGCATATATTTTAATCAAATTGCCTCACAATAGCATACTGCTTAAATAGCAAGAGAGAACAAGCATGAGGAGGAGCAGAGCGACGACGAATGTGCGTTCGATATAGGAGAATAAGTATGAGTAGGCAAAGCCCTTTAGGGCGAAGCCTATGAATACGCATTCGACGGAAAGGAATAATAGCAGGAATATGAGCAAAGCCCTTTAGGGCGAAGCGAATATGGATGCTATTATCCCCGACCCATATGCTATC